GCCATATATCCAGTCTGGGTGGCATGAAAAAGAAAAATTTTGAAGGTTTTTCTTTTTTATCTCAAGTGCTTAATACCACACTTCCCTGCTCAAATTGTAATTCAAGAACCTTTTTACACCCTTATTTTGCAAGGAAAAACATTTTTTTAAAATGTACAAATTATCTTCTTTTTCCAAGACCTGCATGAGTAAATCTATCTTTCCTTATTTCCTTATTTATAGAAGGTATGTACTGCATTGGTAAATAGGCAGTAAAAAAAGAGGATAAATATACTATTTCCCTCACACACTCCAAGTGTTAGCAAAATGACTTTAGAATTAGATGCAATGAAAGCAACAAAGTAGATTAGGACATTATTGGAATTTGTTTTCAAACATTAACATATATATTCATTGAAAATTAAAATGCAGACACACCCATAAATCATTTCTCTGGCTCTAAGCAGCTTCCAGCCTGCAGCTGTTTTGTTAAACACACATCTGGTGAGTGCAATGGTTGTTATATCTTGATGAGTTAACTCTCTTGCCAGGCATATGGTGATTTGCATGATACAGAGATCACGAAGTCTCTCTTGCAAGAGTTGCAGTTTGTTCACATTTCCTCGGTGAATCAAGACTTGCACGTATACCTTGCACCATCTATCAACATTTACAGCTATTTTAATTACAATTGTAGAGCCAAGGCCATTAGGACAAATTGCACTTTGCAATGTGAGCATAAATCTGATGTAATGGCATTGATTTTGGGGCAGCTACGTCGTATTTACAGCAAAGGGTGGGGGGGGATCAGAATCCTGTTCAATATGTCCAAAGGCAGTGGAGTGGTAAATGATACAAAATTTTCACATCAAAAACCAAGGGATCATGATCTTTCTCCTAGTTGGACTTTTTATCCTTGATAATACAACAGCTTACACAAAAATCTTCCTTTCATCTGGCAGGAAAGGCAGTAACCTTTATTCTCTAGTGTCAGATGACCTGTGATATATGTAAGTAACAATATACTGTAGTTCAAATACACAGCTTGGTCTGTCAATGTGCAATGCTTTTATGAGATTTCTCTGATATTCTTAGTGGAATATTAGAAGAAGAAAGAACCACAGATGAAATGGATGGAAGGATTGATGCAGTACAGTTTGAACCAGGATGCTATCTTGTTTCCTTTATCCTTGCAAAGAGTTGGACTGAAAGTGAAGTTCATATGAACTGCATTAAAAAGATCCTGTTTTGCTTCACTGGACTATTAAATTATTATGGAATTTTGGACTGCTTTAGGAAGTTTGAGATCAGTATATCTACCTCAAACCATTTATCTTGTAAACTATATTTGAATGTTTCAAGCAAGAATGAAAAGCACTATTATAGCCAGCAAAAGACCCGCATAGCCCATTATTCTATTTCAGTAAATGGCCAACAAGATATTGATGGAAAGTTCAAAGTAGGACATATTTTATATTAACCCATACCTTGTGACTCAAGGCTCACAAGCTGGATCCGGCTGCATGGTGCTTAGATCTAGACCATGAGGCCACCCTGGAAACAGCCTGCAGTGCCTCTGCCAGCAAAAATGAAGCTTGGCAAAGTGCTTGGGCCACAGATTCCCCCGACATGAGTGATGTCAAGCTGGACATGCCTACCATGGACACACCTACCCATCCCCCAAGGTCAAACATAACCTTGATGTGGTATCCATGAAATGGAGTTTGACACCCGTTATAGAAGATCTAAGGAAAAAGCCAAAATAGTAAAGATTCTGGATTTCAATATAATCCATTTCTCTAATGGAAATTAAAGTTATGTCTGGTACATAAAGTATATGTACTATCTACAGCTTACATATATATTTCCAGACGTCTGGAAACCAGCCTTAGTCAACAAATGAGCCCCACCCACCACCCAGGCCGTTACAACACAAAACAACAATGGATACACAGCCAGCACCAATCAGCACCAATCTACTAATCATGATACAGCCACACATCCAATCAATCCACTTACTGAAACAACGCCAGCACTTCACACACACACACCACTTGGTTTATAGACAGATGGCAGCTCCAATCACACTTTAAGCCAAAAACACCAGCCAGATGGCGAGTGAGACCGCGCTGAAACGTTGCCAAGACAATCTCAATCTTACATGGGAAAAGACCCAAATACAAGACCAGCATACCTATACCCGTGAAAATCTATGAAACACACACACGCCCACACATGCACGCATGCACGCATGTATGTATGTGTATATGTATGTATGTATGTATGTATGTATGTATGTATGTATGTATTCCTAAACAGGCAGAAAGTGGAAACTGATATAATGAGGCAGCTCTGGGCAATCCAGGAAGAATTCCAATACTCCTAATCTAGCTACAGGCAATAACTGGTAATACATTACTGGCAATATATTGCTAGTAATATGACAGGCTTGGAAGACATGCAGATAAGGTTTACCAAGCTATACGTTAAAGTCAGATCCAGAAAAACTAAGAGCTCAGTGAATACAGTCATAGTTTTTTGGAGCACATTCTAGATTATTCAAGTGCTGGGAATTTACAGAGAGGGGGATTACATATCTGTTTCCCATTGAGGTGGAAGAAATCACTACACATTAAAAACATAGCATTTGGAGGTGAACAACATGTTACCCTGAAACACATGCTTTTAAAAGAATCCTACTGATGAGTCTTATTTTGTTTTGGTGGGGAGAATACAAAAATTCAAGTATTTTTTTTTTAAAATCACACTTCTACTAAAGAAAATACTTCTCTCTGGCAAATATGTTAATATACGATTATGCCTTGAAGATAGTGTCAAAGCCAAGTAAATTGGGGTAGATTGCGGAACGGGCAAATAAATGACAAGAAGATGTCCATATCAATGGTCTGGACTTACAATGTCAGTAGATGAATTAACTGATGCAAAAGAGATATTTTTTATGCATACCTATAAGAGTCAAGTTTTTCAGGATTTTCCAAAGTTGTATAGGGTGGGGGAGTTCTATTTTTTTTTTAAAAAAAATACCATGCCTTCTTATTTTAGCTTCCCATTTTCTACCTCAAAATGCCAAATCAAAAACCTGTTCTGAGTTTTGCAATTATGATTGGAGAATATATTTTGATTGGTGTTTCTCAACTTTGGTTACTTTAAGATGTCTGGACTTCAATTCCCAGAATTCCTAAAGTATATCAAAGTAGCTGTTTTGGAACAAAAGACTCTACCAACAGAATTGAATAAAGACTTAAAAATTGGCATATATCAGAAGATTTCAGAAGCTCTATACAAAAACAATGGGTTTTTAATTATAAATTTGCATGATATTTGCAATGTGTTTTAGATATAACTTGCATTGGAATAACTATTTCATCTCCCTACTTCATCCCACATCAATCTAAATCTATAATATTCTAACAGTGTTCTGTAGTTAACGTTTGTAGCTTTAATCTGATTTAATAATTAGTCTGAAAAGGTGCTACCAGTCTCCTTCTGATTCAAGACACAAAGTGTCTTCTTAAGTAACAGTATTTCTTTTGGCAATATGCAGATGTATTACTTCATTTCTCTAAGGGCAATATCTGCTGGCTGGGGAATTCTGGGAATTGAAGTCCTCACATCTGACAGCTGCCAAGGTTGAGAAACACCAGCCCATCATAATAACTACAATTTTTCTACTGCATTTTTCCTGAAACAATACATTAGTGGTGTGTTAATATTAAGCATAATGGAGAACTATTTGTGTTAGAGTACATAAATGCAATTATAATCTGAAATATATTGTGTGAGAAGGAATAGCCACTATGATAACTGTAAATTTTCCTCATCTCCTCACTGTTCTAACTTCTCACTGTCATAACTCCTATCATTTAAAATTGAACTGAGTTTTTTTTCCACTCAAACTTAATCTTAATATGCGGCAACTCAAAACAATTTCATTACTGGAATTATCACGGATATGGACTTCAGAATTTTGCAAAAGGATGAAACAAGGAAAATACAAGTCAGGTTAAATAAAGTACAGTAGTGTTTTACTTATTATCATATTCTTTATTATAAAATTAAAGAATCTTCAGAAAATTTGAATTTGTTATTAGGGAAACCTATTACAATATTTTATGTAAGTAATGTGTATTTTAAAAATAAGATTCAATCTTTTTCCTTGTACTTTTATAGTTTAATTTCTTCATACACATACACACATACACACACGTATGTATACCAGAGGTGGGTTCCAGCAGTCAGTACTGCCAGGTTGCTGCACACGCCTGAGCAGTACACTAAAAATTGTTCTGCGCATGTGCAGAAGCAAAAACCAAGATGGTGGTGCCTATGGCACAGCCTGGAGAACCAGTTTGTGGGTGTGGCAGTCCTGGGTCAAGCCACCAAACCAAACTGGGCCAAACTGATAGGAACCCACCACTGCTGTATATGTATATAAGGATACATAACATGCACAAATAAGCATTGGCCCCAAAGGTATCTTTTTGGTAAAAACTTTTCAGTGGGGAATGAGAGGTTCTCTCACAGTCTTCATTTATTTTCAGCTTTCTGTCATGTAATGGCCACGTTTTGTGGAAATCTTGCTAAAATCTATAGAGTTCTTTTATCTTCTTATCAAGATTGAAATTAGTGAACATTTCCAATTCAAAAAGAAAGAGTGGAATAAATGAATAGGCAGCCCAGCATGTGGAAGAAGTCTATGGATGAATGAGAAAGGCTTTCAAAATAATTTTTTTTGAGATGTGTGGCTGGGAATAATGCATGCTCATGAAATGTAAGTTATTGTAAGTTATTGTAAGAACTGCCAAGAATTTTCACTGGTACAAAAGGTCAATGACCTTCTCCAGAAGACATGTTATAGGCAAAGCCTGTAGCTATGCTTCTCACCTAGTGTAATCTTTGTACACAATTTATGTCACATTTACTCATTTATTGACAACTGCTTTTTGTGTCTAAAATCACAATTTACTTAATGATTCTTTTTAAAAAAATTCATGACTTACAGTTTACTGTGACTTTTACTTTTTTCACATCTGGAACTGAGACATCATTTTCAGCACTACATTCATACTCCCCAGCTTGGTCTCTTGTAATTCCATAGATGTCCAAGTATTGTCCGTTTTCAAAGGGTTTGGCTGAAATGAAAGAAGAAAAAGATGTTGAAAATAGGAAATCTGGCGGAAAAGGAACTGGATCTGAATGAATCTTATTCAGATATAAACAACACGTTACACAAAAGTTCTGCTGACAGAACTATTTCTAAAATGAAAAATGAGTACATTGTACTTATTTTCTTGCGCTCAGGAAACAATCTCGCATTGTACAACTGTAATGGTATGTGGAAAAGACTTTGGGAGTCTGGGAAAGAGACATTGCCAAGGGAATGGTCAGATAAGAAACAGCAAAGCTGGAAACTGGGGGTGGGGAGGGTAAGAGGCTTAGATGAGACCCTCCCTAGTTTTGGGCTGTAAAGAAAGCTGGGGAAAGGACTATATTTTCAGACTTGCAAGATTCAATATAACTTCACAATAAAGCACAATTAATTAATCTGGTTGTGATTCCTAACTGGTTTACACCAAGCGGTCCAGAATAATCTTATTTTAGCAGCAATGTTATAACAGTGACTAGCCAATGAAAAGTAATTACACAAGTTTTATAACAGTTTAGCATTACCAAACTTTAGCATACTACAAATAATTCTATGCCTCTCTGCTAGTTGAGTTGAACAGCCTTCTAGCTTGTAAGATGAACATTCACTAATATATCTCTATATTGACTTTTATAAAATATAAAGTTCCACTTAGACCATAAAAAATAATCTGACACATACACCAAATATGTACACTAAATCATAGCATCAACACAATCCGATATATTGTAAACAGTTAGATTCATAGGTGAACATTTGTCTAACAATAATATATGATTCTATCTATTCTAATTATGTGTTGAATCTTGCTCAACTTAATTCTTAATGTAACTGGTTTGGAAATAAATCCTTGAAATAAAGTCCTATCTAAAATTCAGACTGTCACTGCATCCAGACATCTTCTCCAAAAACTAGCTTTGGTAACAAGAATTTTCCAAAGACAAATATTATTCTGATTCAAATATGTTACATACTTAAGATCCCACAGACTAGGCCTCCTCCGAATTCCATCTGCCAGCCAATATTGGCTGGCAACTCCTCGGGGGAGGGCCTTCTCTGTGGCTGTTCCGGCCCTCTGGAATGATCTTCCCATGGAGATCCGGACCCTTACTACCCTCCTGGCCTTCCGCAAAGCAGTTAAGACCTGGCTGTTTCG